TTTTTTTTTTTTTTTTTTTTTTTTTTTTTTTTTTTTTATATTTATATTTTTTTATATTAATATATATATTTATATTAAAATATTTTTTATTTTTTTGTTTTATTTTTTTTTTATTTATATTTTTTTTATATAAAGATATATGCATTAAAATATTTTTTATTTTTTTTTATTTTTTTTTATATTTATATTTTTTTATATAAGTATATATATTTATGTTAAAATATTAATTATTTTTTGTTTTTGTTTTTTATTTTATATTTATATTTTTTTATATAGAAACATATTTATGTAAAAATATTAATTATTTTTTATTTTTTTACTTTTTATTTTCTTTTATATTCATATTTTTTATATATAAATATATATATTTATGTAGAAATATAAATTATATTTTATGTTTTTATATATATAAATATATATATCTTTGTATAGTAAATATAAATATAATAAAAAATAAACTATATATGGAGTTAGCAACTAAAACAACTAAACTAAACACACAAAAACAAAAAAAAATAAAATAAAATAAATGTTTTTGTGTGTGCTGCAGGTGCATACATGGGAGCGTTTGCCTGTCCTTGGTGGTAGTTTATGTATGAAGGAGAGGGTGACCAGTGGTTACCGTTTTTGTGTGTCTTTGTCTTCTCCTTCTCAGCTAGCTGCTGTTGTCTCTTTGCCTATATTAAGCGGGAGAGAGCTGAGGCAGATGGTGCGGCAGCAGCTGCAGCACCGCAGCACAGAGTTTCTGTTTGTGAGAAACGCAGCAGCAGATCCTGCTGCTCTTGCTGCTGTTGTTGCTGCTGCTCTCTCCCGCATCACTCAGGCTGCATGCACCACACTGCAGCAAAGAGACGCAGCAGATTCATACCAGCAGCAGCAGCAATACTGTCCGCAGCAACAGCAGCAGCAACAGCAGCAGCAGCAGCAGCAGCAGCAGCAGCAGAGGAGACACCGCAGCAACCAAGATGATGCAGCACAAGCAGCAAACAGATTCGCCTTCATACTAAAACCTGACCCTGCTGCTCTGTGGCTGCTGCACTGCTGCATCGTTGCCTGCATGCGCACGCTGCAGCAGCAGCAGCATCTCCACTGGATACAAGAACAGCAGCAGCAGCAGCAGCAGCAGCAGCAGGAGAGGGAACATCTGCAACAGCGGGAGGAACAGCAGCAGCAGGAGGAACAGCAGCAGCAGCAGCACCAGCAGCAGCAGCAGCAGGAGACAGCTGAGGGGTATTCAGAGTCTCGCGCTGGTTCTGCTGCAGCAGCAGCATGCAGCAGAGCTTGTGCTGCAGCAGCAGCAACAGAGAGTTGTTTGCTTTCTGCTGCTGTGTCTCTGCTTCGTCTGTGGTCGTTGCTGCTGCCTTGCTGCGCAGCAGCAGCAGCACAGCGTATATTTGGAGGCAGCACGAGGGGGCCATATACTGCAGCAGCAGCAGCAGCAGCAGCAGCACTAGACAGCCGCTGCCGCCTCACTGACCCCCACGTGTCTCCGCGTGTTCTCGTAGCAGCAGCAGAAGCAGCAGCACCGCTGCTGTCTCCTGTTCCTGCTTTTGTAGAGTGTCTGGCCCACAATACCTTGGGAGCAGCAGCAATCTGCTGCTGCAGCAACGGCAGCAGCAGCAGCAGCAGCAGCAGCAGCAACAGCAGCAGCTCCTGTAGCAGTAATGGGAACTGCAGCAGCAGTAGTTGTTGCTGCTGTGGCAATGGGTGCTGTTGGGATCTGCAGCAGGGGCAGCAGCACCAGCAGCAACAGCAACAGCAGCAGCAGCAGCAGCAGCTGCAGCAGCAGCAGCTGCAGCTGCTGCTGCTGCCTCGTCATCCTATTGCGGTGCATTGGGCTGCGCAGCTGAGAGCAGCAGCAGTTGCTGCTGCATGCGGCGCGCGTGTGGAGTGTCTGCGGCTGCTGGGTACTGGTGGCTTGCTGCCTTTTGCTGGTGGTTCTGTAT